TAGTTGGGCACTCCAAGTTTTGAGAGATCCCTTAGGCATTGAAGCTTCCTTTGGAGTCGATACCCAGCCCATAGAGAAGGAGGTCCACCAAGTCTGAAATTGGTTAGAGAAGTTACTTTCCTCTAACCATGCCAACTCGAACCTAAAGGGTTTGGAGGTACGAAAGGCTGGAACAGTGTCCAACAGAATTGGGCAGTGGTCCAAAGTGGGCTTGGGGAGGGAAAGGGAATGAGATCCAGGAAATTCAGCATCCCAGTCCAACGAGATAAGAAATCTATCCACTTCGGAAAGAGTGGGATTGATAGAATGGTCTAACCAGGTGAAGGAGGCTCCCTGGAGAGGTAGGTCTATGAGTTCTAACCTTGAGAGAAGATCAGAAAATTCCATCATTGATTGGGAGACCGACACGTTGGAGTTTCACTCAACCAACCAGGAAAAACAAGGTTCTTAGCAAAATCTTTTCTCAGTAAAATCTATGGAAACTGCAAAAGTTAATGGCTGCAAAAGTTAATGGTTTAATGAATAATATGAAAAAGATTGGTGGACCCATGGATCCAAATGAAAAGGTCAAACTCCTACTTAGGAGTGTTCCTTCAACCCTAAAACTCTCAAATTATATTTGTTACACTCCAATTTTACAAATCTTTTTTAATTGATTTCGAGTTTCAAGAATGCCCCATATCAAAATCCCCTCGAATACTTCGTATGAACGACATATCTGGAGAATCTCGTGCTGAAAATCTTTTGTTTCAGAATGCATCTTAGGATAAATCAAAGATAATTCGAGAGAATTTAGGTCACACAAGTCCGCCTAGATTGGTGTTTTGGCTGTGGGTCCAGCTGTACCCTACAGACCAGCAAACCGACCATTTTATATATATATATATATATATATATTAGAATGAAATATTCCCTAAATGCATAACTGTCATTGAAAGGCTTCCACATAGAGTACAGATGGAAAATGATTTTGAGGGTATGCTACAAGGTCAAGGCTATTTAATTTGCGGTTAGGGTTCATGAGAATGTTCTGAATATGAAGAGCAGGTGACATTAGGATACTTGGGTGGTTTTCAAATCACCTGAAATTCATTAAACTCCCTCCAAAAAATTCATCACAATCAAGATACACATTGTCTATAGAAGACAGGAGTACACATCAAAACTTAATGACAGCAGCTCAGAATAGTCTCAGAATTGGGACTAGGACTAACTGCGAATAGCCTGAATGTTCATATATTCAAATTTTTTGCAATATAGAGACTTAAAGATAGCCTGATTGGTTCAGTATGAGTTCCCCTTTGTGTGCTTCCTCTGGTTTTCACCCAACCTACGGGATGCCTATTTTTGCTTCCTGTGTACTATCTCTCTTAATCAATGTTCAAAAATGCGGATTTGCACCCCTAGGCGTTTTGGGTGCCTGGCTGCCTAAGTGTCCACCCAGAGACAGCGTCAGGGTGCCCTCACCAAAATTGAACTTCCCCCCTACTACCCCAAACAAAAAAAACAGGGGAGTTCTTAGGGCATGTTTTAAGTTTTTTGGGAGTTTTTAGGGCAATTTTAGAGCCCCTAACTCCTCGTGAAATAGACAAAAATGTAATAGTACAATCACATAATAGATTTACGGATACAAGTCTCAAAGAGATTGTAACTTGTAAGACATTAAAATGCTTGAAATCCCAAATATCATTGTAGGAAACTAAAAGTCTAGACTAGAAACACTACACAAAGTCAACAAGGCAAAATAAAAAAACAAATACATCAAGTCATCAACCAAACACGTAAATATATTATAAAAAATCAAAAATAAAATAAAAGAAAAAACGCATGATTCGCGACATAATATGTTGTAATAAAATAAAATCAAAACCCTCTTTCAAATATGACAATACTTTAAAAATATCAAAATCAAATCGATGTCGGTGCAAACTTCATCTATTGGGTCGCCAAAAGTCCTCAAAATCAACTACTAGAAGCTCTAAATCCACCTACGAACTATTGCCTTTGTTTTGGGAAGAAATCGCAAAAATCAAAACTTTGTCGATCTTTCGATAAATCACAAAAGAGTAGCTTTTGTAACCCTAAAAGCCACAGTTTTTGTTTTGGGGGTTTAGAATACCCCCCAAAACCCATTTCACACCTTTTTTAAGGGGGGAAATGATATTTTTTTTACCCTCACCGAGGGTTTTTTTCATCCTTCTACAAATTGTCACTAGGCGGCGCCTAGGTGGGTGCCCAGACTATAGCGCCTTGCCCGCCTAAGCAGGCGCCTGAAGACAAGCTGCATAATTCCACTGCACAGACAGTGCCTAGGTGTTTTTTTAAATTTTTCGCCTACGCGGCCAAACTTTCTAACACTGCTCTTAATACAAGGTAAACAGTTTCGAAAAAGTGCTAGCGCATTTAGTTCAGCTTCGCCAGCTTCGCTGAAACTAGCTTACATTGAAGCACAACATCAAAACCACTTAAGCTTGACTCAGATTGATCTGAAACTGTAGTTGACATATTCCCAAGTCGTAAAAGCCTACTGACCAAGTTTTACAGAATTTGGACATCAATATGGTGCTTTTGAGTTCACTGCTGTTTGATAGGATAAGTGCCCCTGAACAGCAATGAAGACCTGGTACGATCAAGCCTGGTCCTAGTTCCAAGCGGATAAGCTTCAAATAGTTAGTGGATCCGTTTGGATAAGGATCAACTTATTTCCAATGAATCTTAGCCATTGAATAACTGGAATCACTCTGGACCGAAACCCATAGTTCATGTTTATCTGCTTCTTGGCTCCCAGAAATCTAGGGAAAACTTTTAAACTATGGGTAATCCTGGTTGACAGAGGATAGGCTGACATGTGGTATTAATCCCAGGGTGTTCTTTGCTTACGATAATAAGATAAACTCAAAAGGATTTTGATCCAAGTTCTTGGATCTACTAAGACGAAAAACAGCTAACAGCGATCAAGGATCGAGACAACCAGGTCTCGCGATGATGTGTGGTTTTTTAGTTTAATAAACATATGAATAGGTCCTCTGGAGAGGTCTGATAAAAAACGATCAATATCTGAGACAGTAAACTTGGATGATCAGAAAGATCAATGCCAAAACTATCGAGTTTATGGTTTTGTCGTTTCATTGTAGTTATGTCTTCAATCTTCAATTTTATATAAAGCTCTAGGAAAATCATTGGAAATAATCCTTGCTTGATGCTCCATCTCTCAAGAAAAAGCTCGAGATCATCATAACAACAAGATGACAGTGATTTGAGTTCAAAATTTTGGTCTAGACAAGGTTCAATAGACCAAAGTGAATGTTAAGAAGTTCAAATTAGAATTCAAAACTCAGTGTCTCAGTCAGTTCTGATTGGATAACCCTAAGCCAGCATGCCCTCCTCTGGTGACATGTTTGCCAGAAAACACCATCGGATTGAGAGATGGACTGCTGGGAATCTTAAGATTATTGAAACATTTAACATAATCATCCACTTCAACAAACAAGGGGGATATAAAAGACACACTCCTCTTCGATTTGGAGAGAACAGGGTGTTAAGCGGTGACCCTGCAAAAACATTGTCTCACACCTTCCATTAATTCTATTGGCATTGATCATTTGCAGAGAAACTCATAGACAATGAAAGAGATCAAGGTATACATGCACCAAGCATCTTAGGGCACCAAGGTTACTGTAGTCTACTATCAAAACTAGATCTTTTGCAAGGTATTATTAGGTTTCTTGTGAGTTTTGGTTTTCCTTACGTGTCTGTAATCTCCCTCTGATCAAAATTGTTCTGCTTTTGAACGAAACTTAAGTGGATGTAAATGAAATTATAAGGTAACAGACGGTCCTTGGAAATCCTTCCTTTCCAATTTTAATACAAAAACCTTTGATCTTGATACGATCAAGGGTAAATTTGAGTTCTCCCTTTGTGTGCTTTCTATGGTTTTCTCTTCTTGGAGCCATCTCTCTTTCGGTCTACCTTTAGTACACATTGAGATGAATCAGAGGAATGTACAAGTAGCACAACCTGTATGTAAAACAAGAAATTTTTGTCCTTGGCATTTTCCCCAAAACCGTGTAAGGCTTGAATCTTGAGCAATGTTCATTTAAGTGCATCAAGCACCTTCCAAGTATATACCCTATTATCAAGAGTATCCAACAATTATTAGGGCTCATTAAGGTAGACTTTCATTGATCGCAATATGCAGTCAGGTAAAATGAAGAACCATAGAGAGGAATGTACTGGACTACTGGTGCATGAACAGGGAATTCTTAATGGTCTCTGGATTTTACCAGAACCCCTTTGAGGCATCAACACTTGAGCAGAATCCACTTAAGTAGAACTGGGAGTTTCTGCTCCTTCAGGCCATGCAACAAACAAAGCGTACAGAAAGGACAGCATTAGAGAATCATGCTACACGTAGTAGCAAGTCTAGACTTTATTTGAATGTACTTGGTCATATTTAATAAAGTTACGGAGCACCCAGTAGTCTGATGAAGCTATATGTGTTAGTCAAACTACATTTATCCAGTTGCAAATGGAGTTAATATCAGAAAGAAGAGAGAGTAGAGTCTCCAGATGGTGTGATTAAGAACTTGTGGGACTTAAATCTGATGACACCTATAGCGCTTACCGAAGTCAATTATAACATAGAACTTGTGGCCTAACTTTAAAATATCTGCAGGGAGAATACTAAAACATACATGACAAGATAAGTTTATAATACCAACCTATCAACAAAAGACGAACATAAAGTAAATAATAGCACCTATGAACATAGACAAGTAAATAGTGAGCATTTAAACAGGCAATTGTCATTGGAGAAATTTATCAAAAAACACATCTTTGTAGTAGTGTAGGCATGGATTAATGTCGGAACTCATTTTCATTAATATGAATTCTATGCATGAGGCCACAAACACATGTCCAGATTCCATTTTATCTTTGATAGGTACAAACAAATTTATTTCTTATTCAACAGAAAATAGTATCCAAGTATAATTGCTTACAGGGAAAAGTAGGTCCAATGCCTCCCAGGCCGCATGACGAACAGCTCTTGTTGGATACATTGGAGCGCCTGGAGAAGTGAAGCTATAAAGGCACGCTTTCATCCGTGTGCTTGTAGTCAGTCTTAGCTCCAGTCCTGAAAAAGTTCGTTTTCCATGATTAACTTGGGTTTACATAAAAGTTTAAAACCCAATCGAACTACAGAACCATGAACACAATAAAATATGACTACAAAACATTTTGGAAAAAACTCCATTACGGGAATAACAACACAAAAAGGTGTTTTCCAACAGTTAATGATTACCCTGAAGAACTTTCATTTGTGACAAGTAGTGCAGGAGTACAGGTTCCACCTTCAACTTTTGAAGCTGGATCATGAGTAACCAAAGGTAAAAGGATTTAGTACTACAAAATACAAATGCAAAAAAAAGACATGCTTTATGTTCTCTGCATACCTGGTCTGTAAACTCAATCACAAAAACATCTGCAGGCCCACCAACCAAGAAAGCATTTGGAAAGTTGGGAAAATGAAACAGGAATTCATCTAGTTTGTCAACTGCGAGCAATGGTATGCGTAATTAAATTTACTAAAGCAGAAACACACTTGTTTTGCTGATATCATACTGCAAACGGACAAAGACGCACCTATATCATAGAAAAAGAGAAACCTGGACAGCAGAAGATATAGATCACGTCGGGACTGGAAACAAGTTTAGACAGGGGCTACATTAAAGTTCAAATACTAAAAATACATGTAGAAATTGTAGGTTGTATACTTTGAAACATAAAAAGGAACAGTATCCGAATTATATGTTGAGAGAAAATGACAGATGCATGAGTAAGTTGGTTGCAGACCTGCAAAGGAATTTTATTTATGCGCAGGGGGACAAGTGTCACATCCTCAAAAAGGTACTATAAAACACATAAAAGTTAAGCAGATCAATTATCTTAACATGGAATACATCACGAAACAGAAAACACACAGTCCCAGCTCTCTAAAATCACTTACACGAAACAATGAGAAAAACCGTCTTTTATTGCTTTGAATATCAATCCTGTCAATACAAAAATTCCGACAGTTGCTTCAGCCAGAATAATTGGTTGCATAGAGCACAGAAAAGCACATTGTCACCAACCTAACTAGATTATTTAACTAAGAAATCCAGAGCACTTAGATAAAACTAAAACTTCCGGAGAAATTCAAACAACACAAGGGTTTCCTCATTTTTCAAAACTTTGATGGATGGGCACGAGCTTCTTGCACATGTTCAATCTTGTCTATACATGTGAGAAAGGAAGAATATTTCAAAGTCATGTCAAAATATTTCCGGAAGAATATTCAAAGTCATGTAATTTCACTATGCAAAATCATCTAAAATATTTAACTATTGATAACAAAATAAAATTGTCGATGTCCACATAAATCTAATCCAAGCAGTTGCATTTATAGCCGACCCCAAATAGTTGGGATAAGGCTTGGATGATAATAATGATGAAGCCGATGCATATATGAGCTAAAGATTCATATGTGGGATTCTTTATCAATTTCAAAGCAATGCCTCAACCCTAATATCCCAATAATCCCATGCTGCTTCATTTCTTTTCTCCTGGCTTGGCGTTTCTTTTGATTTATTTGGATTCCATTTCTTCACACTAGCAGTCATCTAATAGGCATCAAAGCAGTAACATGAGAATTCATACCACTAAAATGCTGAAAGAGATAGGCCCACTCGACTATACAAGGAATTAATGTTACCAATACTAAACATGGGATTATGCCAGTCAACATAAATAAGCTTGGGACCTTCTGTTGTGTGTGAACTTCAGTGACACATATAGTATACCCTGGAAAAGGAAATCTTCTTCCAAATCTTACATCATATTAATTCTTTTCTATCTCAAATGGCTCATGGGATTACTTCACATGTCAAGGCTCTAGCAGAAGTTAACAAATGGGTCTTTCATCTGTCAGAGCAGGCGATTATAGGCAATCTTTAGATTGTTTGGCGTCAACAGAAGCCAAAATGCCTGATCCCAGTTGCATGATCACACCCTGAAGCACAGTACTACAAGTTGAATATTGATGGTGCATCCTTGCACAATCCTGGTTTGGCAGGAGGCGGTGGGGTCATTAGAAAAAGTAATGGTGGATTTGTCGCGACCTTCACTAAACACTTTGGGTTTGCTTCCAATAACTATGCAGAATTCCAGGCTCTAGAAGAAGGTATTCTTTTAGCTATTCAGCAAGGTTGTTTTCCAATAAAGATAGAAAGTGATTCATCTCTATTGGTAGATGCTATTCAAAACCGACGTCGAACCCCATGGAGATTACAAACGCTAGCAAATAATTACCGTGCCAGGTTATCGCCTTACAAGTGGTCTATTGCCCTTGTTTTTCACGAGGTGAATATGGTAGTTGATGCCCTTGCTAAGAGAGCATCAGTTTACTCAGACGCCACGATTTGGCGTAGCCACCAGCCAGATTTTCTTTCTCTTGTTTTATTACATGATTTGGCACAACTGCCCTACTATAGGGTTGTAAGATAATATGTTCTTCATTTTCCAATTAATGAAAAATTCGGGTAGGGGGCCTTCTACCCCACTGACTTACCGCAAACAAAAAAATGGCCCATGGGATTAATGTCATAGTTGTGCAAATCAGTAACAGTAATGCCTCAGCCCCATCTTGTAATTATCCGGCTCAGTATCCATTTTTTAGTTTTTTTTTTTGGATTGTTTATTTCAAATAAAAATAGAAAAAGTTGTTGAGTCAACAAGTTTTGGCTTTGTCCAAGTCACAACCCCAGAGCAACTTCACTTTTTATGCAGACTCAAGCAAGTTACCAAATATGCATCAAGCCTTACATTGATCAAGAAAAACCTTTGCAGTCTACGCAATGCGTTTCACCAATGAGTCCCTCCACAGGCTGCACAACTCAATTGATATAAGGAATCTTTGAACCACAGATCAAGGACCTATTTCTACTTTTTCAATGATAGTCATGAGAATATATATCGGCATCCAAGTTAGTGATCAAAAAATTAAAGAGGCTTTCTAGAATACAACCTTGAAAATATGAAAAGAGCTCACAATGTTCTAGAATGACAAAATCAATAGCTAAATGCTCATATAAAAGTCAATAGAACAATCATTGTGAAATTTATAGTTTGTTCATGTAACCAACCAATCGTGAAACTCTCTCACTTACAGACCACTACTTGGCATATTAATACTAACTATGGATTAGGACTGCCTCCATTTACAAATTGCAAACAACCATGTAGAGATATTAAGGAAATGGTGATCCATGCCTACAAGTAGGAGAATTTCAAAAAGTACTTTGTCTTGTTGATGTATCAAATCTCCAATCATGGGGAAACGATTATTTTCTCATTATTTAACAAAATAAAAAAGGCAAAAATAGTTATTTTTCTCCCCATTGACCGTGTATGCATCATGGAATTATAAACAATTACGGAGTTCAAGAGACTAAGAAGAACAATATTGTCACTTTTTCACATTAACATAGACTGGGGTTTGCTAAAAGAATAGGGGCAAATTGGTCATTTTTCAAATCATTGTGTCCCACACACCGGTATAGAACACCACTGCCATAATATCTCTTCATGGCTTTTAAATAAGTCGATGGCAGCAGTGAAATGGATAACGCTATGAAAATTCCTAACTGCTTTTATCCAAGAAAAATAGTCATACCAGAAAACATTGGTAGCTCCTTGAACAAGAGCAGATGCATAACGTAAAGCACCATCTGAATTCTCAAGTGGAACTTCAAATAACTGAAACATGCAAAAAGCAGGTAACATGGATCAGGAATTAAAAGTTGGCCGTCATCAAAAATATTGAGTTATAATAGAAATGCTGGTAAGCATATAAAGTAGGCCATTGCCGAATGCTCGTAATAACTTTTTAAAGACCAGAGAATGCTCTCAATAATTTTTTGAAGACCAGAGAATTATCTAGAAATAGATTAGTGCTAACTAACAAAATGCCCAGATATAACATGGCAATTATCAAGTTGGTGTGAATCATTTCCTTTTGTAACATATAATTGGAGAATATTTGCAAAAGAAACTTATTCAGGAAATGTTATAAAAATTATATAATCATGATTCTTGGACACTTAAGGACTAGAACATTGTTTATAAGAGAAGCAAAGTAAAGAACCATATCTACAACAAGCAGTGAAATCATATGACTGCAATCCATACATGGAGAGATATAGAGAACCATTTGCTTTAAGCATTTAAAAATTGAGCTCCCATTGCTTCTGTCACACCACTACATGGTGACAATGTCAATGCCATGTTAGTGAACCTAATATAATGTGTCAATGACATGTTAGTGAACTTAATATAATGTTTCACCACATAATTAAACACATGGAGGCAAACCTTCACTTAATTCAACAAACAACCCATCTCTCTCTCTCCCCCAAAGTAAAGAACCATACCTACAACAAGCAGTGAAATCATATGACTGCAATCCATACATGGAGAGATACAAAGAACCATTTGCTTTAAACATTTAAAAAAAAATGAGCTCCCATTGCTTCTGTCACTAACAATGTCGATGCCATGTTAGTGAACCTAATATAATGTTTCACCACATAATTGAACACATGCAAGCCTTTCACTTAATTCAACAAACAACCCATCTCTCTCTCTCTC